TCCTGCCCATCCTTTCTTATTGTCCGCCTGACAACTGAAGTGGTTCGCCCGGCTTCCTGTATGCCTGGATGTCCTTTACGCCTCAACACTGTCCGACCGCCTGCCGTTCTTTTTCGAGTCAATAAAAATTCAGTAAAACGTTCCCGACATAGGCTCAAGGATTATTATTGCTACTTTATGACAGTTTATGTATTTGTCGTTGTGTGCGTTAGTATCTGCACAGATTTAAAAGGTTATATACACACACACAGGCACACAAGTGGTCTGGGTGTTTAGGTTTTGGTGTAGGGACACGGCTGGGGTTTTCTTCTAGGGCTCCTCCTCCACAACATCAAGTAACTTGTGTCCTGACAACCCAACTTGTAAAGTGTTTGAGACGCAAATTGGTTCCCTGGGATGACACTGGAGCCCCATGTCAGAGTCACAGTAACAAAGTGGAACATTTTGTACTCAATTTCGCAGATAATTGGTGGGACCAAAAGACGAAGAAATTAAAAAAAAAAAATTTGCTTTTAAAGTTCTCCTGAAAAAGGGAATTTTTAGCAGAATTAAAGCTCCTTCCAACGATTATATACCCATCTGCTACAGGGAATACATATTCAAAATACCATGTCGTTATTCCAATTTCCGCCTCAAAAATATATCCAATCAAATATTCAGTTTGACCAAAACCAACTTCTTTTTGACAACAAAGGGATTTCCCTCATCCACCAAACTCCAAGAAAACTTTTGACCAACAAGAAATGCAACCAAAGTCGGAAGCTAATTATATGGCAACAGAAGGGTTTTCGTGGTGGGGTATTTGAGGGGGGAGTTCAAGCCAAAAATCTGCTGTAAGACAAAGCCTCTAACACCAGCAAAACTTTGCCTCTGACTTTTGGCCCAATTATGGCCACGTTTCAATGTCGAGTCGTAAAAATTTGCATATTTCCAAAGCTTTTTAATGTTTTTTGGTGTTCATTTTTTGTACGGTGTGTTTTTCTGCGTTCCCCTACAGTTTTTTTGGCGAGAGGCAGACAAACACGTTGACACCTTCGTTTTCATTCGTTTTTGGGGCTGGGCGAGGAACGCGGAGGTTGACTCAACATGAAAACTCACTGCTAATTGCGAGTTTCGGAAGCAAAGCAAATGGCTTAATTACGTTGCTGTTTCTAGAGCTGCTGCTGCTGCCGCCGCTGCAACCGTTGTTATTGGGCCCCGGTCCCAAAGGTCAGCCAAGCACAAAAGTTCATTTGCATAATTTGGCGGGGTCTTTAATTTTTTCGGCACGGCATTTCCCAGGCCCGAATCCGCACGTAACATTTGCATAAACAGAATCTACAGTCGACTGTAGAGGCAATCAGCGACGGCAAAAACATATTGGAGCCGAAAAATCACTGCAGCACAAAGCACACAAAACTTTGCCAATCACATCTAATGTAATAATTACTTAAATAAGGAAATGAAAAGAAACAGGAACAGAAAACAGATGCCCCAGTGGAACAGGCAGACCAGAAACTAACTGGATATCAGCATAGTATCCATAGATATACCTAGCACACTGGCATTAGGTTTTTTATTAGATTTCAGAGGATAAGCTGTATTTCGAAAATTCTAATAATATTTGCCAGAATATATTTACACGTATTAAATGTTCCACACGTAAAAGTTTTTTTTTTTTTGGCATGTGTATTTTTCTAGTGCGGCTCTGGTTATTTCCTCATCAAATTAGTTTTCTTGCACACGTTTTCAATTTTCGGCAAACGCTAAAAGTTTCTTGCCACACACACACACACGAGGGGTGCAGGTGTAGAGGGGTGGGTGTTACAGGCGTAGTAATGGGGCAGAGAGGAAGAGATGTTTGCCTGCCATAAATGCGTGAGAGTGCGGGTGCGATAACACACGCTGAGAGAAGAGCGCAAAGAGCGTGTCAATTGTGGAGAATGTTTTTAGTATTTTGGAAATTTTGAATAAGCCCGGAAGACCTCACGAGAATTGCAAATGAAATTCCAGTAGCGTAAACAAACACAAATCCAGAAACAAACCCTGCAGCGCACACAGATAAATGCATTCGCAAACAATAATGAGAGAGTCTGTCTGTCTGTGTGCTGAGAGATGCATAAATCAGCTGAATAGATGGACTGACAATGGGGGGCCCGTGGCAAGTGTTGCCAAAAACTTCATTGTATTGGTGGCACTCTCATAATTGGCAACTTCCTTTTTGACATATTCCCACTCCCCAATGTGACTATCGCTCTGCTATTTGGGTCAAATGTGCATAATAATTAACAACATTTACAGCATTGCAAATGCAATTTCGAATGTTTCCTCTTCTCCCTTACTGCCTCCAGCTGACACTGCGTATACGCAATGGAATCCACATATCAGATTAGAATGCAAATATTTATTCGTTTTGCCTGCTGATTATTTGGTTTTGTTTATGAAATTCTATTGGTCATCGAAGAGCTTTAATTAATTGTATCTGCATTTAAAACGAATTATTTTTCTGGGTTTTTTGTTTTGTTTTAGTTTGCTCATTTGTTGGTTTAATTACTGGCCAGAGAATGAATTGTTTCAATAGATGATTCGAATCGAGAGGCTGTCAAGTGTAAACAGTGCGTATGATTGATATTTTAATTAGTGCAAAAGGGAATACAAGGTAGAATTTCCTTTACTTTCAGCCTTATTTTTTTTTGCTCTCTTTCAGGACGTCAGATTCTCGAGTCAAAGAAGGCATTAGGCATTAAACCTAAGCTCATTTCAGATATATTTTCAAGCAAAAAATGAAAGAGATTGAAAGTGGTTTCTTCCCTTCATTATAGTTCCAAGAAGATATATTATAGTATTTTATCCTAAATTTATACTATCCCAAAACAAAGATATCTCTTAAAGTAAAAACATCTCACAGCACAAAAATAGATTCGCCGAATAAGAATGTATCCGCATATCCGACAGATAGCCTTATCTGCAAGATTATGGCTTCGCGACGCGTCGTTGGCGATGGATTAGATAACAATGATTCAAAGAGAGAGAGGGAGAGAGAGTGAGAGAAAATGTGTGGGGGGAAGGGATTTGAATCGTCTATCGTCCAGTATCCGGTTAGCCCGTGAGCCATTGGTAAATATTTGCATGGCTCTTGGCCCTCCTGCTGGATGGATGTATGGCGTACTCTTATGGCAAACAGGCAAACAGAGACGATGTTTATTTGCGGCTCTTGTTGACACAAATGTGTCATTGATTATGCACGATCCACATATATTTTAGGGGCATATGCTCATACACCCATAGGATATTCCTTCAAAATTTAACCCAATTTACGACAGCTTTTTTTTGGTTGCGAAACACACACATCACATACAATTCGCACCATATATTTCATATATTTCGTATTTATAAGGCAAATATTAAGCAATTGACAGTGCGAGCCGGGCTGACAAAATATTTAGCATTCGTGCTAAATAAATTTATGCAAAAATTAAACGCCAACATTTGTTAATGAATATTTCTGGTTAAACTGTGGGACCCGGTTACAGGCCAGAATAAATTCGGGTTTTGGTCAAAAATCGCTTATTCATTTTCACACTAATAATAAAACCAAATTTCATAATATCAATATATCAAATATCATATAATTTTTAGTCGCGAAATTGTATCTTTTTGTGTGGGTCAATATTGAACAAAACAGATACTCTACAATTAGCTGTGGGATAAGGTAGATTCTCTGTTGCCAAGGCGTTGCAGAGGGAAATCATTAAAAAGAGGAAAGAGTACAGTTTTGAACAATTTATTGAGGAACTTTATATTTTATTGTAGGATTATACCTACAAAACAATTTACAATTCAAATCAATTTCTCAAGTTTTCTGCTCATTTCTGCAAATTTTGCTGTATTATCTTTCAAGAATCTGCAACAAATTCTTCAATTTTATTCACATTTTGAAGAAAAATGTTTCGTTTTTGAACGATATGTTTTAATAAAAGTTAACTTTATTTGACATTAATTAAAAAACTGTCGAAGAAGGGAAAAAGTTATTTAATGAATTAAGGAAGTTAGAATTAAATGATTCACAGATGGGAATTCTGTAGGATATTTAACAGATTCTCATAACTTTAAAAACATTAAAAATTGTATTACCCGTATTTTATGGAGAGTTTTTCATTTTTCTACAGTTTACTCCATTTTGTTTACGACCATTCCCCCCCAACCATTGTTCAGAGAGTACCTATGACTATCTATTATATAAATAGGTTTTTGCCGCATTGGGTTTTGTCAAATCCCCCAACCTTTAGTAAATCCTTTAATCCTCTTATCTTTTATCAAAACAAAAACTGACTCCCCTTACCCCAAATTTATCTCAGAGAACTCAAAGAATGATACCTATTTTTTAGCCCCGAAACACATTTTACTTGGCCAATTTTCGGCTACTTTGTTGCTAATTTACAAAATTAGCACGGGTTTTTATTTCATTTGGAATTTCAGACATAAATCCAACATTTGTTTGCCTCTGAGCCTCTCGGAGACCTCTCGAAAATTTCGGTTATTGTTATTATTTGTTGGTAAATATTTAACCACCAATACGCTACGGCTGTTGATATTTGCATTTGAGATGTGAAAACGAATGGGGGTTTATTTTCTTTTGGGTGGGGGGCTTATTTACATGCCTCTTTTTTGTGGTTTTCAACGAGAAATAAAATATTTTGTATATGAATTTGGAAATGACATGCCAAAGCCGCAGTTGACATGACGCTGGCAAGCCATTGGCCGTTTGGGAGGTGTGACCCCGACAAATGGTTAGCCGTGTTAGCGAATCCAGCCACATGACCATGCTATAATAAGGCTTTGGCTCATACCTCATACCTCCCCATTATCAGGTAGTTGTTGATTAAACATTGATTGTGTAAATTGTTAGTGCAAATAAATATCTACGGAAAGATAATCCACATCAAAACTGCAGGAAGCTACGACCAACGGATGTCTACTCTTTTTGATAAGATCCGTAAAGAATTCCCAGCATTACTCACCTTCAGGTCTGCGTCCAATGGTTAAAACATATCTTCTGGGAATTGTCTGCAAAGAGAGTGAGAAAATCGTAAACCTGATTAATATGCAAATGTCAAGTGCGATATAATTAACTGCTTAACCCAGTTTTGTTTTTGTGTTTTGTTTTTGTACCGCACACTTCCGCCTACGAAAGAGCTTTGGTGAAACGCCAAAAAACCAGTTTATTGCACTTGTCTGTCGCTGTTGCTGTCACTGTCTGTGACTTGGAGACTTTGACTTCGACTAACTGTCTGAGATTAGGATTTTTGATTTGTTATAACCGGTGTTTGGTGAGTAGGACAGGGGTAATATTAACACATTAAATAATTTCATTTAAGTACGCGTATTAAAAAAAAAAACAAAAACAAATTTAAAGATTGAATGAATATCATAAGCTTAATAAGGAAGGTTAATTTCTCTTATTTCTACTACTACTCTTCAAAATACCGCGTATCTTCTATTCGTAATAGCGACTGTCATCCTTTCCCTTGTTGTATCCATGTTTATTTAGCTTGAACCGGTTTTCCATTGAACATTGGGAATTGCGCAATTTTCAATAAAGAGATGTGAGGTGCACGGTGTGTGCAAAATGTTAAGTGCCGTCCGAGTTGCGTGTGTGACAAACTCGTAATTTAGAGAATATTAAATTTCAGCAAACATTTAGTTGTGGGTCACTCTTTCAACAACGGCTTAGAAGAGGGTTAAAGAGGGAGAGGGAGAGGCAGAGGAAGGGTTCAGAATGCAATGCAGCATAATCGGGCAATGGGGGCAACGGGCGGCATGGGGCAACAGAGACTGGGTCACTTGATGACGTTAAGCTGCTTAGACGTTAATTGAATTAGTTTACAAGTATCGCCCACAACGTTGATAGTGTGCGTGCGTGTGTGTCTGTGTGTGTGTGTGAGGAGGTGTGACGCACTGGTGCATGAGGCAGATCCCCCCAACCCCTTCCACTCTTCCCTACCCCTTTTACCCCACTTGTCCAATTGCACTTGCACTTGATATACAATTAGATTCTTTGTTGCCCCCAAGCCGTTTGCGGAAAAGGCAAAAACAACTTTGGCTCTTTGTATGCAACGCTTGCCCCAGCTCCAACACCACACTGCCTCCCGCTCCCCTGCCAAGCCATCTCCCATCTGCCATCATCGTGCAGCTTCTCGCATTAATGAACTTTTAATTGTTGGCATCTTGGCGGTGGGCTGCTCTGCTCTACTCTCGCTGCTTACATAATTGAACTATCATGGTGCACCGCCTGGTTAATTGTTTAATTAAGTAATTAAAATGCCATAAAAAATAATGAGTAGAAGGCCTAGGAGACCGCAGCTAATATCTGGATTGCCACAGATGCTGTTGCTGAACAAATGGCTCTTCCACTGCCCCTTGACATGCGACACCTGCACTCCGGGGAGGGTCTATCTCTCGCCAGCTTACAGAGATAGCTCTTAAGTCTGGACAAAGTTCAGGGGGAGCCTATTTTGCTTTGCATAATGTGAATATATCATAGTACAAGCGTACTTAAGAGAAACTTAGTTATGCTCTCATTTAACCTTCGTAATTCTATCTAAATATCATCCATTAGTACATTTATGGAAATCTCTTGTGCCACTTTTTGGCTATTTTGTACAGCGAATGCCAATGCCAAACCATTAAAAACCAAAACCCATACTTTTCCTATTCTTATCTTATCCATTACCGCTTCCATTACATAAATGATAGCTAATCTTCCAACAATCCAAAACCTGCCCTTTCAACAAATTGCATTTCTCTATTCAGAGGAAGCGAAGTCACTCATTATCCTTTGTCAACTTTTTTTCCCTATCACACCTGGGATCACATCATGCCATTCTTACCCATTAGCCAGGGCAAATATCAAAAGCCGAGGCGGGCACTAAGAAAGTAAAGTAAGTATTAACCTATATCCATGGTGCTCGCTTTGCCACATCTGCCCATTCGCGTGACTTGTCAATCTTTTGACAGACAATTGCCACAACAGCCACAACAAAGGGCGCCACATAGGTAACACCAACAATTAGATGGCCCAAAGAGAGGGAGAGAGAGATAGAGAGAGAGAGAGAAGGCCATCCATAATGGCAGAGGGCGGGGGCAGAAAGCCCGCAATTGCTGTCACCATGACGATAAGCGATAACAAATCCATTAATTAAAATATTTAAGTGCCAACAAAGAGCAACAAAAGAAAAAAGTTGCCATGCAAATTTCTTTATCTATTGCTGCGTTGCCTGACCCATGCCACAAAGCCAATCAAAACTGAATTGTTTTGCATTTAACGATAAAACTGAAAAAAAAAATCAAACGAGTCACATTACAGAGAAATGTGTTCATCAATAATAAAAAATAAAAAAGAAAAAAGGTAGCGCGCAACATAAAAAACATATTATTAATAAATTAAATGCGGCACTTCAGTGGAGAGTTATGTACCAATTAATGTGAATATCAATAATTTTTCAATTTGTTTTATCCGCAATTTTACTCAGTTTTTTACTCATTGGATTCGATCGCATTTTCCCAGTTGTTTTCCATCAAGCAGCAGTTTATTGTTATCTCTTTATGCGTTGACTTTGTTTTCACTTTAATTAAATTTTATTATTAACATCCGCAACATTTCTGTAGCAAAAAGCCAAACACCCAGCGACAAGCGACAACGACAACAAATTGATTACATTCGAGAAATTGCTTCGCGGGGCGAGAAACCGCCACTGGGATCTCCGGCACTCAGGGGAAGGGCTCTGCTCTCGAATACAAAACTGCACAAAATATACGAGTACATAGTATATTCAAATATTATTCGAAGAGAAAACTAAGGCTAAATAAACTTTTCCCTCCTTTTGCGTTGATACATTGCACTCGCTTGAACCCCCGATCCGGCCTTCGGAAAGCAGCAGGAATAAATTGATAAATTGAAACACTTTTGCAAAGTGGGGGACCTTCTTGGGAAGTTTCTCTCTGCGTGTTTCAGGGTGAAACTTAATATTTTCTTTTAAAAGTCCACACACACCCACGGGGTGTCTGGCTCTATAATAATGATGAATTTGCTTATACTTGTGCCAATTAAAATGAATTGTAACCAGAGACTCAGATAGAGTCCCTTGAAGATAGGACTGTGTGTTGCATTCCATCAGATTCTCGCTTAGGCTTATGGCTAAAAGTTTGAGAAGAGGTTCACCATTATATTCAAACTTTATGGGATGTTAATTTATCAATCAAGAACGGTCAGAGAATCAGAATCTAAAGTGTACATATATATTCCCTCTTTCCCGAAACAATTTTTTATACCTAATCTGTCTGTCTCTTTAGTGAAATGAACAGCCATATAAGAGTAATAAATCCATTTACTTAGGGTCTAGTTCCGCTCCTCTAATAATCTCCATTAAAAATTCATTTGCATATCACTCATACGCGGCGTGTGACAACCATCAAAAACGGCAAACAAATTTCATTTTTACGCGCACACACAACGAAAATAAAGGGAAAAAATGAAATAAAAATTTGAGCAATAACAACGGATAAACCAATTTAAAAAAAATACAATCTGCAAACCAAATCCGCACACACGACAGAGAGACAGGCAGAGAGACAGACAGTAAAGCGGAGAGACAGAGAGACAAGGGATGGCTACATTTTAAATACAATCATACCATATGTATCTGGTTGTATGTGCTCTTTTATTTTGTTCGTACAGATCTGAAATTGCAATGTCTGTCACAGCAGGAACTCGACCCAACCCAACCCAATCCGACTCTGACCCGCAACAATCCTATTTTAATTGTTTAAGTGTCAGCAAAGCCAAAAATAAAATATGCAAAAAAATTGAATAAAAATCAAGTGCAGAGAGTGTGTGGCAGTGTGCAGTGCTTTTAATGAATTCAATCAAATTCGGATTGAAATTGCAGCAACTTTGGATGGAGATTTTTTGTTGGGCGAGTATTTCATCCCTGCTGGGGTCATCATCATCCTTTATAGGGGCAAGCACGAGTTACTGCTGCTGCCGCGGGGCCAAATAATGTTAATGAGGATCCGAAAGAATCGGTTTATGTTCAATTTTATTGTCGGCAAAGGAAAAGAGAGGATAACGAAATGAATGTTGAAAAAGAGGAAAGAAAATAGATGGGATAGAATAAAAAATAAAATAAAATAAAAGGATAGAACGAAAGGGCAGCTTGGAAGGGACACAGGTTTGTATATCCTAAGAGATGGATGGCTCAGTAACTTATGTCTGAGCGATTAGATATAGTGATTTGTGCCCTATTCCACTATGGCAAATTTGGACCCATTCTTGTGTTCCTATACATTTTGCATTAGCCAACGGACACATTCGTTTCGACACGAATGAATAGAAAATTTCGCAGACCCTTAAGTGAAACGAAATCGATGTACTTATGTATGTACTTCTCCTTCACTCTCTCCCCTAATATATCTATCACTCTTCCTCTTCGTCTGTATGGTTGTTATTTTTTATTGATTCTATCCGTCTATCCATTTACGCGAAACTTTCGCTCGGTGAAACACGTTAATTGAACTTTCATTGAAACGCAAGTCATTAGAAAGCAAAAGCAGAACACAAAAGCACATTTTCCATGGCTTCCATAAGTAAAGGAAATTGAAACAGCAAGCAACAACAACTACAACAACAGCAACAAATACTTGGCTAATTTAAAACGTAATGATTAGTTATATGGCTGTTTGTCCATCCGTCCACTCTTGGCTTTCATTGTCAGCGCAAGTGAAATTCAATTAAATGCAATTATATTATCGCCTTTTGTGTCGACTAATTGGGTTAAGTGCGCCCGCCGCTGCCCACTGTTCGCTTATCGGAACTGGGGGTCTCTAAAACTTCCCCTGAATTAATCAATCAGCAAAAATATCTCTAAATATACATACATATACTCTGTATGTATGCGAATATATTGTATGTAGAATTGCATACTGTAAACTTCATTCAGCGCTTTAATTTAATTATAACACAGTGGGACACAGAGGGGTTTCTGTTTTAGGGAGCGGAGCCTGTGCAG